GAGCTTTTGTCCTTATTTCTTTGAAATGTTTGTTCCTCTTCAAGTGGTTCCTCAGAATTCTCATTTTACTGCCCCAAAAATCGCTGATTTTCCCCAAAACCCTGATGCAGGTGGAGCTTTTGTCTTTGTTTCTGTGAAATGTTTGTTCCTCCTCAAGTGGTTCCTCAGATTTCTCATTTTTCTGCCCCAACAATGGCTCCTTTTCCCAAACAACTGGTGCAGGTTCAACTTTTTCCTTATTTTTTTGAAATGTTTGTTCTCCTGGAGTGGTTCCTCAGAATTCTCATTTTCAGGCCCCAAAAATGCCTCATTTCCCCAAATACCTTGTGCAGGTTGAGCTTTTGTCCTTTTTTTTTTTGTGAAATGTTTGTTCCTCTTCAAGTGGTTCCCCAGAATTCTCATGTTCCTGCCCCAAAAATCACTGATTTTCCCCAAATACCCTGGTGCGGGTGGAGCTTTTGTCTTTGTTTCTGTGAAATGTGGTCTGTGATCTCTGTCCATGGGTTCCTGACCCCTGCCAGGGTCCCAGACCTTCAGGGCAGCCGGAGGGAATCCCTGGATTCCCACACACAGGTGGAATTCCAGCAGGTGGAATTCCAGCAGGTGGAATTCCAGCAGCTGCCAGCCAGGAACGAGGAGGGGCTTGAGGGGCTCCAAGGGCTCTGACACCGATTTGGGTGTGGTGGGCAGGGAAACACTTCCAGCAGCTTTTCCAGCCAGGAAACCTTTCCCATCCCTCTTGGAAAGCCCATTTTTGCACCCCCAGGTAAATCCTTTCACCCCTGGGGTGTTTCCCAAAGTGGGATGAGTTCAGCTGCATCCATTTGCCAGGAGAAAGCTGAGCTGCTCTGGGTTTGGCACCATTTTGGGTGTTAATTTGGCCTTTCTGGCAACATCCACTGTCAATAAAGTGCAGCCTTGGTGGAGTTCCACATCCCAGTGTGGATCTTTCCCTCTTTTTGTGATTTTTGCCCTTTAGGAAATCAATCCATCGGAGCTACAAATAAAATGAGTTTGTCTGGAAATAGTCAAATGCTGGCAAGATTTTCTGTGAGGTTTGAGTAAGGAATCTTTAAAAAATGAAAGGAGGCCAAAAGTGACAGATGGGGACAAATCCTCTCCTAATCTCTAAATCCTTTAGTTTAAAAAGTGGCATTCTTGACTAGCTAAGGCTGGGGTAATTTTGTGCAAGAATATTTTCTCCCAACAAAGCTTTGCTGGCTCTTAATCCCATTCCTTTGATTCACAGCATCCCTAAATATCTGAGGTGGTCAGTGCCTGATCTGTGGCAAATTTTGGTGATTTAAAGGCATTTTGGCTTTTAATTCCAGCGTGCCAGGGAATTCCAGCCTGCTGAGAGGTTCTGGAGGTGGTTTTGTCCTGAGGGAATTTTTTTTTTTTCCTTAATGGATGGCCCTTCTTCCCCAGGAATACTGGAAAAAATTGAGTTTCATTACTGCACAACAAAAAAAGAGATGGAATTCATTTTTCCCTGCTGTCAGGCAGTCCTGGAGATGTTGATATTTAGGGATTGCATCCAGAGCCAGGTGCCAGGCCCAGAATGGGTTTTTTTTTTTAGCTAATATTTGCTGGTTTTGGGTGAGGGAAGCAGGAAGGGGAAGATGGGAAGTGGAGAGGAGATGGAAAATGGGAAATGGGAAATGGGAAATATTCCTCCCATTTTAAGTGGGCTCAGTGCTCAGGGGGGTCACAGCTGGGACTCCCCAGTCTTGGAAGTCGTCCCCACCTCCACCATCCTGGCATTCCATGACAGGAACGACATTTCCCTGCTGATCAGGAATATCCATTTCATGACAAAAAATGTGATTTTTTTTTTTTTTTCACATCTAAAAGCAGTCCCTGTGGTTCTCTGCCTCACACTGATTTATTAAAAAATCTGGATATTGATCTAGTACCAGTACCCAACTGTGACAGACAAAACCTCTCTGACAGTGTAAAGTTAGGAAGTGTGTGTTTATTGTGTGTGGGATCATTCCCAAATCCACACTGCTCCTTCCAGGTGATGACAGAGCCCTTTTATCCATCCAAGTATTGAACACCCAAAATACAAATACAAATTCATCATTTTGGTACATCCCATTCCCAAATCCACACTGCAGCTTCCAGGTGATTGCAGAGCCCTTTTATCCATCCAAGTATTGAATACCCAAAATATAAATACAAATTCATCAGTTTGGTACATCCCATTCCCAAATCCATACTGCTCCTTCCAGGTGATTGCAGAGCCCTTTTATCCATCCAAGTATTGAATACCCAAAACACAAATACGAATTCATCATTTTGGTACATCCCATTCCTCGCTTCGTGTATTTGTCCCTTGGAATGGGTCGGTGTCCCTTCCATGGGAGGGGTCCCAAAATGAGGAAGTCAATGAAGTCTTCCTCCTTCTGACCTTTCCACCTTTCCAATGCCAATCTGACAAATGAACTCTTGGTAGAACTCCCATTCCTTGTCTTCAGTTGGTTTCAGAGCAGAGGAGCCCCACAATTGTCTGATGTTCCTAAAAGCAATTTGTCAATTTATATTCTTCATTATAAACCCAGCTAACTCAACATTGTGCTGACGAGCAATCAGTTATTAGTTAACCACTAACTCTTAACTCCATCAAGGCCTACTCATTTATTTTAAATGAATAAAATTATTTTTAAATGCCCCATTTTCAGTCCTTCCCCAAACCCCTTGTGCAGGTTGAATTTTTATCCTTGTTTTTGTGAAACGTTTGATCTTCCTCAAGTGGTTCCTTATAATTCACATTTTTCTTAACTCCATCAAGGTTAACTCATTTATTTTAAATGAATAAAACTATTTTTAAATTGCTCATTTTCTGCCCTTCCCCAAACCCCTTGTGCAGGTTCAACTTTTCTCCTTCCATAAATTCCTGATTTTTGGGCTTTCCCAAAAAAAAAAAATAAATAAAAAACTAGTAAGGCTTATCTCTAACTAAAACCTTAGCTCCTGTAAAATCTCTAAATTCCCTAAATTGACGTTTCCCCACTCTGCTGTTGCTGCAGGCACCACGTGTCTGATCGCCCTCCTGTCCGACAAGGAGCTGACCGTGGCCAACGTGGGCGACTCCCGGGGCGTGCTCTGCGACAAGGATGGCAATGCCATCCCCCTGTCCCACGACCACAAGCCCTACCAGCTGAAGGAGAGGAAGAGGATTAAGAGAGCTGGTGAGTTGTTGGAAGGTTCTGCTTTTACTTGTCACTAAAATGGGCATTTTCCCCTGGGAGAGGTGGGACGCGCCCAGCTGAGGTGGCGGCAGATCAAATCTCTCCTTTTCCACCCAAAATTCTGCTGGGGTGTCCCAAGGCAGAGGTGGCAACAGATTAAATCTCCTGTTTTCCATCCAAAATTCCACTGGGATGTCCCAGGGCAGAGGATCTCCTGTTTTCCACCCAAAATT